ATAGTTTTTTGGTAGAATCTTCAGGGTTTTCTACATGTAATATCATGTCATCTGAAAATAGAGACAGTTTACTTCTTCTTTATGAGTTTGGATATCTTTTATCTCTTTATCTTGTCTATGTGCCTTGGCTAGACCTCCAGTACTATGTTGAATAAAAGTGATGAGAGTGGACATACTTGTCTTGTTCCTGATCTTAGAGGAAAAGCTTTCAGCCTTATACCATTGAGTATGATGTTAGCTGTGGGTTTGTCATATGTGGCCTGTATGACATTGAGATATATAACCCTCTATACCCATTTTGTTGAGAGTTTTCATCATGAATGGATGTTGAATTTAGTCCAATGCTTTTTAAGCATCCACTGACATTATCATATGGTTTTATCCTTCTTTTGATTAATGTCATGTATCACACTGATTGATTTATGGATATTATATCATCTTTGTGTCCCTGGAATAAATCCCACTTGGTCATTATGGATGATCTTTCTGATGTTCTGATGTATTTTTTAATTCAGTTTGCTAATAGTTTGTTGAGGATTTTTCCATCTATGTTCTTCAGAGTTATTGGTCTAAAACTGTTTTTGTTTTTTTTTTGTGGTGTCTTTGTCTGGGTTTGGCTTTAAAGTGATGCTAGCTGTGTAGAATGAGTTTGGAAGCAGTCTGTTCTTCTCTACCTTTTGGAATACTTTAATAATGATGAGTATTAGTTCTTAAACTGTTTCATAGAATTCAGTTGTGAAACCATCTGGTTTGTTGGGACTTTTTTGATTACCAATTCAATTTCATTGCTGGGAATTGGTCTCAGATTTTCTGTTTCTTCCTCAGTCAAACTTGGTAGGTTGTATTATTATAGGAATTTGTCCATTCTAGGTTGTCCCATTTATTGGCATGTAATTTTTTCAAAGAATTGTCTAATAATTCTTTGTATTTCTGTGATATCTGATAACTCTTCCTTTTTTGTTTACTGATTTGACTAATTGTGTACACTCTCTTTTTTTCTTGAAAAGTCTGGCTAGAGATTTGTCTCTTTTATTTATATTTCTTGGTTTTATTGATTTTTTCTATTGTTTTATCTTCTCTATTTCATTTATTTCTGCTTTGATCTTTATTATGTCCCACCTTCTACACACTTTGAGTTTCGTTTGTTCTTTTCATAGTTTCTTTAATTGTGAGTTTAAACTGTTTATTTGGGATTGTTCTTGTTTCTTGAGGTAGGAATGTAGGAATGCTATATGCTTCCTTCCTAGAACTGCTTTTGTGGCTTCCCACAAATTTTGGACTGTTATCTTTTGTTTTCTTTTGTCTCCATGTTTTCCTTGATTTCTGTTCTGTTCATTGATCCATTGATTATTTAGAAACATGTTGTTTAGCCTCCATGTGTTTCTAGGCTTTTTTGTCATCTTTGTGTAATTTATTTTAGTGTCGTATGAGACCATTGTGATCTGAGAAGTTGCTTGATACAATTTCAATCTTTTTTAATTTATTGAGGCTCTTCTTGTGGCCTAGTATATGATCTATTATGGAGATTGTTCCAAGTACCCTTGAGAAAAATGTGTTTCCTGCTGCTTTGGGGTAGAATGTTCTGTAGATGTCTATTAAGTCCATCTGATCTAATGTGTTGTTCAGTGCCTCTGTTTCCTTGTTTATTTTCTATCTGGTAGATCTGTCTCTGATGTGGGTGGTATGTTAAAGTCTCCTAAAATGAATGAGTTCACATCTATTTCTCCCTTAGTATTTAGGTGTTCCTATGTTGAGTGCATAGATATTTTAATGATTATATCCTCTTGTTGAACTGACCCCGTTATCAGTATGTAATGTCCTTCATTGTCTCTTGTTACTTTCTTTGTTTTGAAATCTATGTTGTGTGACATAAATACTGCTGCTCCTTCTTTTTTCTCCCTTTTATTTGCGTGAAATATCTCTCTCTATCCCTTTACTTTCAGACTGTGTATGCCTTTGGGTCTAAATGAATCTGCTGTAGGCAGTATATAGAAGTGTCTTGTTTCTTTATCCATTCTGCTACCCTATGTCTTTTGATTGGTGCACTCAGTCCATTTACATTTAATGAAATTATTCATAGGTAGGTACTTAATGCCATTTTATTATTTTCTGATTGTTTTCATAGTTCTTCTCTGTTCTTTTCTTCCTCTCTTATACTTTTGTTATTTGATGGTTTTCTTTAATGTTTTGAGGATTCTTTTTTTTCATTTTTTGTGTGTCTATTATAGGCTTTTGGTTGTGGTTACTGTAGGTCCAAGGATAGCTTCCTGACTGTATAGCAGAGTATATTAAATTGATGATCACTCTATTTCAAACACAGTGTAAGAGTACTTCTTTTTTCTTCTTTTTCCTCCTCCACACTTCGTGTATTAGATATTCTAATTTGTACTTTTTGTGTATCCCTTGATTGATTTTGTTTATAGTTGGTTTTACTACTTTTGTTTTATTTTAATTACATGAGTGCTTGGTAATTAATTGGGCTACTAACTTTACTGTAGGTTTGTTTTCACTGGTGAGTGCTATTTAGCCTTAGGAACATTTCCATTTAAAGCAGTTCCTTTTACATATCCTGTAATGCTGTTTTAATGGTTATAAATTCCTTGTGCTTTCATTTATCTGAGAACTGTTTAATCTCTGTTTCAAATTTGTATGATAATCATGCTGGATAGAGGATTCTTGAATGAATGTCCTTCTGTTTCAGTACATTAACTACTTCATGCCCCTCCCTTTTAGCCTGTAAAGTTTCTGCCAAGAAGTGTGCTGATAGCCTGATGAAGTTTCCCTTATAAGTAATCTTTTTTCTCTCTCTGGTTGCTTTCAATACTCTCTCCTTATCCTTAATCTTGTCATTATAATCATTGTATGTCTTGGTGTTGTTTCCCTGGGGTTCCTTTTGTTAGGGGCTCTCTGCTCTTCTGTGACCTGAGTGTCTATTTTCTTCCCCAGATTAGGGAAGTTTTCAACAATTGTTTCCTCAAAGAGACTTTCTACCTCTTTCCTCTATCTTCTCTTTCTGGTATCCCTATTATGCAAATACTATTTCATTTGGAGTTTTCACATAGTTCTCTTATCACTCTTTTGTTCCTAAAGATCCTTTTTTCTCTCTGTTTCTCAGCTTTGTTGTTTGCCTCTTCTATAATTTCCATCTCATTCATTGTCTCCTTTACTTGCAGCAATCCATTATTCATTCCCTCTATTGTATATTTCATTTCAATTACTGTATTCTTCAGCTCTGAGTGACTCTTTTTCAGCTTTCCTATCTCTTTGTTGAAGTCCTCCTTGAGATCTTCAATACTTTTCTGCAGATCAGTGAACACATTAGGACTTCTTTATGAAGAAGATAGATGATCTCTGTTTCATTTGGCCCTCTCTCTAGTGTTTTATCCTGTACTTTTTTTTGTCACATATTCCTTTACCTCCTCATTTTGTCAGGGTTTCTGTGATTCATTCTTTGTATTATATGGCTCTGCTATATTTCCAAGTAATGGCTTTATGAAGAAGGCATCCTGTAGTGCTCAGAAGCTCAAGACTCTTTACTCTACACTGCCTAGTAACCTTTTGAGGTGGGACCCCAGTTGCTGTTGGTGGGCAATGGGTGGGGCTGCCTTTCTTTTTGTCTGTCTGCTGGCAGTGGTCTATATCAGTCCACCAAGGTTGGAAGTTTGCCTCAGCTGGCTTTTTATGATCAGAGCAGCAGCTTCTGCTGTAATTGTTGTTTGCAGTGCACCCTCTGCTTGACCTCCAGTAATGGCAGGGCTGCTGCGTTAATAGGGTTGGCAGGGCTGTTACAAGGCTTGTGGGCAGCTGGGCAACAGGGCACTCAGTACCAAGTTGAGCCACCCACTAGATGCACTCAGAGCTGGCTCCTGCAGGCACCTCTCTAATTGAACTGAGAAAAGATGGAGAAAGTTGAAAAATCCTCTCTCTGCCTGCCAGGCAGCAAAGTCTAACACTGTTGAGCCAGGTGGGCTAGAGCACTGGCAGTACACAGGGTCATAACTAGGGGCTGAGCCTCTAACAAGGGGGATAGAGCATTTGGGTCTCCCAAGAGTGTCCAGACTTTTGGGTTGATGGAGGACTGAGGAAGTGTTGTCCACCTGCCCTTTTTCCTATGGAGAGAGCTCCATCCAACCCTCACCCTTCTGATATCCCTACAACTGCTGGCAAATACTTTAAAAACTGCCAGCTCTGTTTTGATCTTAGCAGGATTGGTGAAATGTGCCTGTCCTCCACAAGCAGCTGGAGTTTCAGCCTCCCAAATGCTCCAGCTGTCCATGGTGTCCTGCCCTACTAATCACCAGAACCCAGTGCAGTGTGGACTCATGTTCCCAGAGCAGAACTATAGAGCCCCCCACACTGTGTTCTTCCACTTCCTGTGAGCTGTATGGGGATAGGGCTAGGGTCCCAATCTGTTGTGGCTATACCACTTTTCCTTCTCTATGTGGTCTTCTCTTCTTCTCCAGGTGTAGATGGTCTGTTCTGCAGTCTTCTTGTCATTTTCAGGGTTAATTATATTGCTAACTCCGTGGTTGTGTGTGCAAGGTTTCCACCTTGCTTCCTACTCCACCATCTTTTTTCCTCTCCTTCAGCACATACTGTTTAGGTTGATTATTCTTTTCCTCAGATTCAGCAAGTATTTTCTCTGTACTTTTGTACTTACATTTTTTGATGTTTTTCCGTTATTGAGCTGGCTACTTTGGCATATGGCTGGATACTTTTTTAAAACTTTCTAGTTCATTAAATTGAAGTTAGAGATTTGGAAAAGCTAAGGGGTATTCTTATCTTTGCATGAGTTTGTATGTGGGTATGAAATAAAAATAGAAAATTAAAAAATCTATGATTATCTTAATGTTTAAACATCTAACTATGTAAAACCTCATACCAGTTAAAAACAAAATTCCAGAAGCAGCAGATACTTTTTGACATAAAAAATTGCCATGCAATCATCTCATCATTTATGCTCTTTATTTAAATTAAAAGTATTGTCTGTTTCTTTTCAGTTACACACAGAGAAAAAGAAAAAGAAAAAGAAAAAGTGAAAGAAAAACCTGAAAAGAAAGGTATAGACTTATTTGTATTGCAGTTGTTATGCATTGGTCCCTTCCCCTTTGACATCTCCTTTGCATCAGATTTGAGATGATGATGAATTAAAAAAATATATATATATATGTGTATACATATACACACACATATATATATATAGTATGAAAATTTCCTTAAAATGAGAAGAACAATTTCTAGGTTGAAGGATATTAAATGCCTAACACTCTTGAACTCTGTTAGCAATTTACTTCCTAGAAATATTGTATCAATTTTTCCTTGGATGTTTTTAGACTTTCTTTGTCAACAATAAGAATATTATTTCAGAAAATATTTTCAATTTGATAGGTAATAAAGCATACCTCCTCATATTTTAACCTGCAGTTTTTGAATACTTATTAGGCTAGACTTTTTAATTTTTTTCATTTTTATGTGTATGTTTAGAACAGGCGATGCAGACTCATTGTTTAATACATAAGATACATTGTGAAAAGCTTCCTCCTGCCATTCTCCCACTCTCCTGGTTCCCATTATCCTTTCCACCTACACATGCACATAGTAAACCACTTCTTTGAGTTTTATGTACATCTTTCAGAGCTTTGTTATGCACTTATCAGACAATATGGATTACTGTTCCTCTATTCTTACACAAAATCAAACATGTCATATTCTGGAATTAATAAATTATTAATATATATAATATAACATAATATAACATAACAGTATAATATAATATAATATAAATGTCCTAGAGATCTTTCTATACCAGTAAATAGATATTTTTCTCATTCTTTTTAAAAAGTTGCATAGTATTTAAATGGAGATATTTTCTTACACTATATATTTTAACTGATCATTATTTGTAGATTGAAGGATTTAAATATGACTTTTATTTATGTGTATTTCTTGTGTAACTGTTTACACTCATTGCCCATTTCTCCTGATTACATATATACATGCCTTTTGATTATACATCCTTGGTCTATTACTTTTTCAAAGTACTCAGTTAGTTTTGTAGTTAATGTTAGGGTTTCTAGCTGTGTAAGTAGTGCATATATGTGTGTATGCATGTTTGTGAGTGTATTTAGATTCTTTAATTTTTATGTGGCTAGATATGTTGACATTTTCTTTTGTAGTTCTTTTGAATTCTCATACAAAGGTTAATTCAATAATTACTAATAGTACCTCACGTTTTAAAACTTAGTGTCACATTTCACATTGAACTGTAATTCACCAAAAATCCATGTCAATATATGATGTGAAATAAAATTCTAATTTAATATATTTGCTTTTGTTTTAGAGGGGACCATGTCTAGGATATTTGGGCCAGATATGAGCTGACTTATGTTTCCACAATATACACAGCCTACAAAGCTCTCTTTGTTTTGTGAAGCATTTGTCTTACCTAGAATGGTTTATGATATTTAGGAATCAGATCAATTGAAACATGCTTCAATATTCTTTATTCCATATTTACAATTGAAAATTTAGATTAAATAGTTTTTATTATATTAATGTTTACCTAGTGATAGTATCCATGAATTTGATTCAGCCATTTTTATTCTAGGAACAGGTGTCTGTTTCCCAGCTGTCATTTAGTTACACAGTATTATTGGCGTCAGATTATTTATACTCTGACTAAATGAAATAATCTGATATTTCTTGTGATTATTTTCAGCCTTCACAGTGGCTAAATATTTTTTGTTTAAAACTAATTGAATTTGTTGCCACTACATTACAAGCGTTGCAGGGAATTTGTCCAAATTGAAAATCAGAAATGAAGTGCTTCATTGTCAGGATCCTTTTATTGACTGTACACCAACTAAAGGAGTTTGTTTTTATGAGATAAGATTTTATATTGTATGAGTTGTGCCCTGAATAACTCAGTGTAGTGCTCTTCCAGCTAACATTGCCCAAGCTATTTCCCATTTTCCCAAATGGTAGCGGAGATGGGCATGGAGCAGGCTGAGAGGTAGAGGCTGAAACCCTGTAAGAGGAGGTACCTTCTTTCTTGGTATCTGCAGCTTCCAGGGTCACTTGGTCTTATTTGTTTTCAGCTTTCAGTGAGGCTTGCATCATCTTTCCAAGACTCTGGGAAAACTATTCTCAGATGGCATTTTAAAAGAATGGGTTTTAAAATACATATTTTAAGCACATTTTTCCTTTTATGCTGCAGGTAAAGCTGATGGACATTGATATTCTTTTTATATAGGTGGAGAAATGGAAATAATTGGGACCCAAGTTTTTATTGTAATAATTTGGCTTTTTCCTTAACCCAACTGTTTAACTACATCTCTTTTATCATTTAATTTTGTATAATTTCTTTAATTTCCATTATTTCCTCAATAAATAATACATAAATGTTGAAAAATGTCTGGTGATTTGGGGAACTACCAAACCAAACCAATATATTAGACTTAATATATTCAAAATATAAGAATAACCTGCACATGCTGTTGTACTTCTCAGAATTCCCTTATTGAAACTTCAGAGAGACATAAGATTTTATCAATCTATGCAAATAAAATAGAATTTAATCAAATAAATTCATATTGATTTATTTTATTATATAAACAAGGTATAATGTTTCAATTATCATGTCAAATGCTGTTCAATTAAGAAGCTGCAACTTGATCAGTATTCTTTATGATTACTTTATATTCTTTTGGTGGTTCTCACCCATAGGTGATCTCCTTTAGAAAGTATTTGGAAAAAATTTTGGTAGTCAAAATGTCGTTGAGTGGAGAGTATTTGGTAAGCAAGGACTAGAGAAAATAAGCATTTTTTCAATGCATAAGACAATGTCTTATAGCAAGAAATTGTTCCTCCCCAAATGCCAATTGTGTCTTTATTGAGAAACTATTCTTAAAGCTCTAGTCATGATTTAAACATTTATTTTAATTAATCATGAAGAGAGTGCTTCTTCCTCATAAAATTCTATCTTTTGACAAATTCTTACAAAATTGCTCTCTGTTTGTCTTTCCTGAACTTTATCTATTTAAAATAATAACCTTAAAAAGGAGGGTGAGACTATCTTTCAGAAGGTCTCAATGCCAAGTTTTAAAGTGGAGTTTATGCAGTTATTGGTAATTATTTATTCCTGAATTAGGCTCATTAATATTATCAATCTTCAAAATAGTTCATGATTTTGGTGGCTATAAAACTGAATTAAAGAGAAAGCTTGATCTTGAAATGTATTAAAAGTGTGTACTAATATAATATTTTCTGTTTAAGCAACTCACAAGGAAAAAATTGAGAAAAAAGAAAAACCAGAAACAAAGGCAGTGGCAAAAGGTAACTCTTCCTTTCTTATTTCCATAACTAAATTATTTTTACTTTAAAATTTATATTTTGATTAATAGAAAGGTGGACGTTTATCAGAATTCAGCATTTCCTTTACACAAAAATTAATTTGGCATCACATTTAAAATTTAATATATAAAATAAAAATAATATGGAATATTTAAAATAATAGATCATCTCATAATGTGAAAGGAAGGTCAACAGATTTCCCATATGCAGCAGGTAGAATTTTGGCCTCTGTGACCTTCACTCCTTGGTGCCTTCCCCTTGGCTGTTACATTACATGACAAAAAGGAGTTTGCAGAGGTAATTGAAGCTGATCTAAAATACAGAGATTATCCAGGATTAACCAGGTGGGCCCAATGTAATCTCATGAAACCTTAAAACCACAGAGATGTGGCAGAAGAGAAGGATTTTAAGTGTTATAAGGACTTTTCCCCAACTCCTCATTGCTGGCTTGAAAATTGAGGGGCATACATGGAAAGAATGAGAATGATTCTGCAAACATGTTGAGTAAGTGTGGAAGCCAGCTCTCTCCAGAGCCTCCCCTAAGGAATGCAGTCCTGTTGACAACGTGATTTCAGCCTTGTGGACCCTACCCAGAAAACTTGGTGGAGACATGTCATGATAAGACTTCTGAACCATGGAAACTGGGAGATATTACATGGATATTGTTCTAAGCAGCTTAATTTGTGGTAATTTATTACTGTAGCAATAAGAAACTAATACAGTGTATCTGGTTTACAGCTTTTGACCAGTGTTATACCTTGGGCTTTCCTTTAGAGGATTCAAATTCAGGAATTTTTTTCAAGAAGAAAGAATAACGTATACAATTTGACTGATATTTTTGTTGGATTCCCCTGAGGAAGGCGCCGCCCCAAATCACTCACCAAAGACGTTTCTTGATGCAACAAGCAAGAGGAATTTATTCAGAAGCCAGCTAGTTGGGGTCCAAGTCAGCCCGTCGCAGCGGGTCTCAACAAGGACCCTGAGTACTTACAACTAAGTGGTTATATAGGATTTTCTGAGGCATTCAGCCCTAGAGAATTACCATGGTTACAGATTATGTTGTAGTAACAAGATAACAATACTACATAGCAAGATAACAATACTACAAAGGCAGTAATTTTTCAAACCTACGATTTCTGGGTTAGTGCCACGTCCTGGGGGTGTAGCAAGGTAGGGTCAGCTTTTATGCTTAACTAACCGAAAGGTTAGCGCTGCCAGCAGTCATGATTGATTAACTTGTTTTTCCNTATATAACCAGACTATACTTTTTGTTTCTTTGTTTCTTAATGAACTCCTAAGTAACTTAAATTCACTGGAAGTTTGTGGAGTAAATGGATGAGTTTTACATGAGAGTTTTAGGGTGTAGTAGCTTTGGAAAAGAGTGTGTAGCACTCACCTGAATATTCTTAGTGCACTTTAGCTTTGAGAAATTCCAGAGTATCTGAGGAACAGTGCTGTGGGAGGTGTTGCTCAATTCAATTAAATGCAATACTACAGATGATTTTGGTTTTGCAAGCATCAGGCATGATCATTTTTTTAGTTGAAAATATCATTGATACACAATCTTACACTGATTTCGTATACATAACACAGTGGTTTAACAGTTTCCCTTATTATTTAATCCTTAGCCCTACAAGTGCTGTTACTATCTGTCAACACAGGAAGATGTTACAGATCATTGACTATATTCTCCAGGGCATGATCATCTTCATTCTTCCCTTCATAGAACCTGACAATACCATCTTGTCTTAGTCTCATTTGCTTAGTATACTAAAGTCAGGAAATGTGATGATATTTTCATTAAATTCTCCAGCAAGTGATAATAAAGGCTACTCATTATAATGGCAAATGACATGAAAGAGTCCAATATTGTAGACTTATGGTGGTGTCTAGTGATTATGTGTGATCCCATAGAATGATGTCCCATATGCAATATCTACTATTCATAATTTTCCACAAATATTTGCTATTTCTTTTTTAATAATTGAAACATTCACAGACTGATTAGTTCACATTTCTAGTTCCTTCCTCCCATAAAAACATAATATAAAATTAATATGTACAGAATATGTATAGATTATAATTCACATATAGATATTCATGTATATGCTAATGTGTAACCCTTTTAGTTTATAAGAATATTTCCAGAGGTTTAAAAGTTATTAAAATCATTATTTCTGACATAAGACAAACAGGAGCCAATATCTCAATTTCTGCTTTCTTTCTATCTCTTTAAAGTCAAATCATTAGAAACTGAATATCTCTGAATTACCCTTTAATGGGCTTTATTGTTTTATTTCTATTAGTTATTATCAATACAAGTCATTTTACATTTGCATTTCTAATAGTTATCTTTAAGAAATGCTGTGTTGACAGTTCAGTTTTTTGAATGACTTTTAAGAAATTTCAGTTGTGGAACAGAACAATCACATCCTTTTAAAAGGTCTTTTTAATTGGGCTTTTGGTATGGACATTGTCTTTTACTGGACATGCCTGTATATGTGCTCCCTGCAGATTTCAAATGCCACCTTGTTGATATGCTAAATTCCTGACTACTTAAAAATTATGTTTTCATGTACAAAATAGTCTCCAAACAAATTAAAAAAAAAAACCTCCAAAAGTGAGCTACTTTTCATTCTTCAGTACTTTAACATGGTACCTCCTCAACTCTATAAAAAGTTAGATAATAGTCACAAGTATTTGTGTCAAGGACACTGTTTTTCCATTTTTTTCCTTTCCTGCTTTTTAAATTGCTCTTACCAATCAGTGAAAGATGAAATACTGTGTTGGTAAATAAAAATAATCCGAATTTTTCTTTAATTCTATACAGAAGACAAGAAAGCTAAGACTAAAGAAAAGATCGAAGAAAAGATTAAAAAGGAAGTGAAAAGTGGGAAACAAGAGAAAGTGAAGCAAACAGCTGCAAAAGTAAAAGAAGTACAGAAAACATCACCTAAACCCAAAGAGAAGGATGAGGAAGAGACTGCAGCTGTCTCCAAGCATGAACAGAAAGGTAAACATTCAGAGGAGGCGGCCGGAGTTTCTAAAAGAATATTGGGCAAGAAGCAGATGCAGTAAAATTAAAAACTGAAAAAGAACATGATCATATTTCCAATGGGAGTGAAAGATTCATATAAGTAAATATATTTGACAGGAAATAGAATAATTTGGGAATTAAAATTTGTTTATACAAATACTAAAATGTGTTCATATATCTAACAATGCATTTTGAAGTATTTTTAAAAGAACATTTGAGTTAACATCTGAAGTTATTTAAAGGTTGAAAATAGATGTTGATTCTCATAATATGGGGTTTCTGTTAAGTAGTGGAATAAAAATTGTGTGTGTCCTACTCTTTGAAGAACAGCAGTCCAGGAAAAATGACAAGTCTCAAGGAATGTTTTAAAGGGGTGTATGTTTAAATCATGTAGAATAAGTACCAAAAAACTATCCATACATTCCTGTATCCTCTGCAGGAGCATGTAATTTAAAATATAGATGAAATTATTCAGGTCAGTTGATTTGATAAGCAGGAAGTTGTAGGAAAAAGGACTTTCAAGTTTCTTTGCCAGCTTCCATTGACTAAATGCATGATTGGAAAGCTCTTTGTCTGACATTATGCTGCTCTTCAATAAGAGCATCACATTTACATCCCAATTTCACAGAAATAGAGCATTTAAAGAGAGTTGGAGTATAAATCTGAAATTATTTATGGAAAGGTGTTATGTAAACATAAAAGGGTGGAATTTTAAGAAAGCAGCCAGTGGTCTTATTGTCCCACATGTCTGTTCCTTGTTGAATCTTTTCTTCCTTAAGTCTATTTCTAGCTCCAGGCTGCTACACAATCCTAAGATTCCCCATACAGAGTGGGACCTTTCCTATAAATGTTCCTTAGGGGTATTGCAAAATAAATTTTTTCTTTACTCTGGTAGTTTTGAATAATTTTATTTGAGGACAAAAATTAAAGAATGTTTTCTATGAGATTTTCATTTAAAAAATCTTAAAATTTCATTGATGAGTAAGTTATCTGACAGTGAAAATGAAAATAATTTTCTCCATGATAAGATACAAGATACAAGATATGAAATTTGCAGTTCACAATTTTTTTAGATTCCGTATATATGTGAGATATTATATTTGTTTTGCAAGCCACTCTTCTATTTTTTGAATCACTTTTTCTCCTGAATTCACAAGAAATATTTGTAAACTTTGATTTATATGACCAAAGATGTATATTTTTGAAAATATATTTTAAAAAGGAAAGGAAGAAAAGAAAAAAGGATACATTTATTTTTCATTTTTGTTTTTAATGATTGACAGAATTTTTAACTTAGGCAATTTTCATTTATTTCAAAGTAATTTTTTAAAGATATGAGTGGAATTTAAACTTTGGAGCCCTAAAACATCTCATCAGTTTTAATGATGATTATATTACCTTGAAAAAGATAGAAATATTTTTACCTTTCTTAAAACTGTATGTTATTTATGAAATACTTTGGCTCAAAAAAAGAGTGAGTATAGAGGAAACATTTTGAATGGATGTAAATATAGCTGTGATAGAAAAGAGAAAATTTAATCCTATATTTCATTAATAGGTTTGTTTAAAATTATTACCAAGATCCTAAAATACTTTGCATTTTAGATTGCCCTTTAAAAAAGAAAATAACCACATGAAAACAGATGAAACTTACCAAGTATATTTTTACTTATTATCCATCAATACACTGTGTAAAAATTTATGCCAGTTACATGTGAAAGTATCAAAATACTTACCTAGCAACTAGGAACATGAATACACTTTTTGATGTTCATTTTTTGTATCTTTGGTTTTTTGGGGCCATATTTTATTGATGAGAACACATCACCAGAACATTTTCAAATGGTATTTATTTCCCAGGTCTCATATATTATACTTTATTTATATCAGTAATCAGAATTATTAAAGATAACATTATATTACCATTTCCATTTTCAATTTACTGTTTTTATTTCCACATAAAGAGTTGTTTCTCTATTAAGAGGACATTCAAGTGTTACTTAGAGTTAGAAATGAAAGCAGAAATGTGATTTTATCAGTTAAACAAACGTATTTGCTAAAGTAAGGCTCCCTATTGAAAACAGCTACCATCAATTAAATAAATATATCAGTAGGTAAATAACCAAAATATTATACCTACTACCTGATAAGACACATAAATATGTTTTTTTTTGATGAAGCAAATTTAAGAGCATTTTTTTAATAAAACCCACATTTGATTATGGTTTAACTAAACATGATAAATAAAGGTATAGTGTTGTTTTAATAATTTATTTGTGAGGTGGCTTTGATTTTGAGACCTAGTGTTGATGACTTAGTAGAGTCATGTTAGTTCTCCTTAGGGCGAGGGATTGTTTATTTGCTTAGCTTAAACTAGACCTAATGAATTTGAGTCATTCTTTTCATATAGATTTCTAAATAGTTCTTTTAAATAAATAAGGCTTACAGGTATTTTGCTCACTGGAAACAGGTTTTTCCATGAGACACATACAATTAATGACAATCATTTTATTTAATTATGTAGTAGCCTTATAAATGGATTCATATAGGGTTACTTTTCATACTTCATATATAAACAATACATTTCTACTTAAAGCATTGGGTTTAAGATGCCTGTTTGTATATGCTTAACATAAATTTATACATACACTTACATAATCTAGTTTTTATGGACCAACCTTAATCTGGTTAAAGTAGGGTAAGAGGGTCAGCATGATAAGGCATTGCTCCTTGATTTTCTGATGGTCTGTGGTGGCAAATCTGTGGGGAAAGAACAAAACCTCCCACAGCTACGTTCTTTCTTACTTTTTTTTTTTTTTAAGCAACTGCCTAAATATTTGTGGCGGGTAGAGAAAGTATAGCTAATGTGAATCTGCCATAGAGCACTAGACCACAGATGTCCCATTCTTATTAAAGATTTTTTAATATGTCCTTCCTGTTGACATTCTGCACCCAGAATGTATTCTCTCTGAGCTGCCATTCCACAGGGAACACCAGTAACGCAGCTGCTGAATGACACCCATGACTGTTCCCTGAAGATCAAGAAAGGAGAAAGGGCTGGCATGTGTTATTCATAGAAGGATGTTCACTTGGGGAGAAAAAAAATACTAAGATAAGAAATTACCCTATGTGAATTATTACCACATAACTAGGAAAGTGAGAGTGATAAAACAGTAAGAAACTTCCCTATTTTCAATATTTGAGTTGCATTTTAAAGAAGCATTTCTATAAAATAAATCTTCCAAAATTAGGAAGGCTAGATTAGCTTTATCCTTAGGTGAAGCAGACAACACGTTGGGGACAGCCCAGCATATATCTGCTTAGAATTCTTACCTGTTATTGAGGTCAACAACCAGACCAGGTGGAAACAGGCATCCCACTTTAAAATATTTGAAAACTTTTAATTTAAAATATTGTAAAAATACTCCTTCATCTTCCTACTGATATATTGGTGCCATTAGAATGCTACACCACAGCATCACCTAGATACAACAGAAACTTCCCAAATGTTGTAACTCAATTATCTACGTTAAAAATAAATGTTCTTTAAATTCACAGGGATTTCCATTTTTAAATTGGAAACTCATAGGATTATTGATTAAATTCAATAAATAAATGATGTTTTGATTCAGAAAATATTGGTGTATTAAATATAAGCATTTTACTTTGGTAATCACTTAATACATAGGCTAAATAGTGTCATTACACTGTCATTCAGTTCAAGAATAAGCTCTGGAGCAGGAAGATTCTAGTTAATTCAGTATTCTATCTCATATGTCATGTGTATAAACATCCCTTAACAACTTGGACAAGAGAACAATATCTCATTTTGGGGAGTTATTACCCAAACCCTTCAAATTCCAAGTAGTCCCTGCATTCTAAACTCCTGATAACATGTGTTCTCTGGTGGCTGCTATTGCTGAAGACTACAGTGCCACTAGGAATCACTGTTGAATAAACAATTGGGGGATTTTAGATCAGTGATTCTAGAAGCATGATGTAATATATTCTTCCTGGATTTGTTATAGGTGCATATTCCTGGGATCCAGACCCATGGATTTATAGGTTTTGGGATGATGGAAAACAAAAAACTTCATGTAACACATTCCCCATCTTTCTGATATTTAAATTGCCCTTAGAGATAGACCTTTGAATTGTAGGAAGGCCAAATCTAAAACGTAATCATTGAAGCTACTGAAACCAAGGGAAAACTTGATAATTTCAGGAAGTCCACCTTTGCCCAACCTCAAATTTACCATTCAAGGTAAATATACTTTTTCATTTTATGTTATCTTAGAGCCAAATTGTCCATTCTACAATTCTGTTCAGGAAACAGTTATGTCCAGAAAAGAGAAAATACACTCTACCTTAATCTTACTTCTCTCCTGTACAATAGAGTCCCCAGGTCTTGGGATCAAAACCCCAACCACTTCTGCCAGTACACCCAGGAGCGGACTTATTCCTGGCTTGATCTGAGAACTAGCCTCCCTCTCTCTCCTCACGTCACCTGTGGGAAAATACAGTCCAATTCAAGAATCAAAATATATACGCATTTTTGAAACTTCATGAGTTTTGGCTTTCTCATGTTCAGTGCCAATGAAAAGGGTTCTTTTTTATATCTACCATAATAACTACATTTATTTTTTTTAAGGCCTGGCAGAGTTTCATAATAAAATGGATTATTCTAAAAATACTGTTATACTCTAAAAGGAATGAGGTCCACAAAAATCCTTGTATCTGTATTTATATAGTAGTAAGTTTTATTATTTCATGTTTGATATAAAAATGTGGATCACTTAAGGGTGTGTCATGTTGTATAAATTCAATAAACTCTCTTGGCCCTAAAGCTGCCTTTGAATTTGTTGGATTAGTAAGATGGAATTATTTATTATATATTTATTTTAAATATTTAAAAACATTAAAATAAATCATCTTAAACAGTATTCATTTCATAATACGCAAGATTTGAAGAAAATATGGCAAACTTAGAGAGTGATACATTAACTGAAATTCGGGATGGAATGCCCTCAGTAGAATCTAAAATTATGTGAAAATTTAAAGGTCACAACAATGTCTTTAATTTACAGGGAAGAGAAAAAAACAACTGTTGAGATAATTTTTTACCGAGTCTGCCCTAAATGCTCAATCCTATGCTTTTTTTAAAAAAAAAATATCTTTTTCCATAGACCATAGACTATTCAAGATCATAAGATATCTTTTAATAAGGATTGCTCAATTAATTAGCTTACCAGTGAAATCATTTGATACTGAAAGTCTCTTCTCTGGATTTGCTCTTCTAACTGAAGAGCATTTCCATGTGGAGGACCCTCTAATACATGGCAAAGGGGTTAGCCTTTTCGAGAAACATTCTACAGCTCTGTTTAGAAAATTAGCAGAAGGACTGGGAGTGAATATTTGGTAAAACATTCCAAGCTGGAAACAATTTCCTCTTGTAAACTTCTGTTTCATTATTGGAAGTATATATACTGACAATAAGAAAAAAATGCTATAATATGGTGACTTTCGTAATAAATTTGATGAAAAAGGTTTTGATTTTTAAAAACAAATAATGTTATATTACCCTGAACCAGTCTATTAAAAATCTTTTAAGGATATTCTTTTTGTATGAAATAAATGGAACTTTATGTTTATTATGCCTTCCCCCTCCCATGTTCATATGAGTGCAAGTTATTCCTTCACAGAAAACATTGTAGTAACTAAAATAGAATTGTGCTATTTTGTTTGTGTTGTTAAACCATTTCTCCCTAGAAAAAAGAAAGGCGTTAATGACATTTTTTCATTGCTCTTTTTCTTTCTACTCTGTCAGATCAGTATGCATTCTGTCGATATATGATTGACATGTTTGTCCATGGGGATTTAAAACCAGGTATTCCAAATAATTCTTGTACTTGTCTGCTTTTAATAGTCTTTGTTTCTATGATTGTCAGCTTTTTTATGTACTAAACTGTATTTTTATTTTTAAAAAACTGCATAATGCATGTATAGATCTAGAGTAAAACCAATAAAAAGCAGAAGAAATAACTGGCATTAGGGCTTTTAATTCTATGTTCTATTATGCATGGCCGATTGCAAATGAAGTCAGCTGAAAGCTAAAAGACTGCTAATATCTTTATATATAAAATAAGCTAACACCTTTAATAATATCTTGGAATGAAGACAAATCATTTTACTCCTGATAAGCTTTAAAGAATAGACCTATGACAGTGAAAGTATCCATCTTTTTTAGTTGTGAACAGAATTCCTATTAAAATCTATTGCATTTCAAATATTTAATCATTTTTCAAAATTTTTTTATTTTCTTACTTTCACATAAACTTGGGTTAATCACTCCAGAGAACTATTGATGGAGATAATCAAACTGGATTTAATAGCTAACACAATGAAGAAGTATTTTTACTTAAATGAATGTATCTATTATCTTACCTATCTTTAATTTTCGCCCAGAGTGTAACAAGGGAATTCTTTACTAACAACTTAATTAAGAGTGAGTAACTTGATTGCTTTACTATGCCTTTTGAAAATTTAAAAGCTGATGGTACTATGTTCATGTTTGGGGAAACATTTTTGAGAAAACAGTATTGTTAAGGTAGGAGCTAATTTACATTAATAATTGAAGCTGATTGTTTAAAGCAAACTGTATTTTGTTTTCTTAACTATTTTTATGGAAATCTTTCTAAAATGTACTACTATAATTCATGCATACATTGGCAAGTGGGCATATCATATCTAAAACAAATATTTAACATATCTACATCCTAGAAAGGTATGAGATCATGAGAACTTCAGCTCCAGAGAAAACTTAGTTAATTCAAGTAACCTACTCAAGTTAAACCCCCACACTTCATTTTCTTTTTCTTTTTCTTCTTCTTTTTAACTATTTTAATGAATTAAAACTGAAATGAGGGAAAAAATACTGAAAAACATGATGACTCTCTTTGTAAATACAATTAAGGTTAACATATGTATATAGTATTATAATAAAATTAAATGGAAGCATTCAGAAAGGTAGTTTAATATAGTGAGAGGGCTTTAGACACAAACACACAGAAAATCCTTTAACCTATTCTTTTCTAGCATTGGGCCTTGAGCAAATCATTGAATTCTACCTGATCTTCAGTGTTCTTCCTTTAAAACTGGAATCTCAGTAACAACTTTGCAAATTTGTTGACAAACCATCTGGTAGATGCACAACAAAATGTTGTTATACTTCTATTTTTTAATTCATTTGCTTCAGTACAACTTATCTGGGTGAGCATCCCACATGGAGGAAACCTCAGCATTGACAAGTCCTGGTCTACATACACCATTAATTCAATTTTAGGTAACAGGTTTGCTGTCCATTTTGTTCAGTAGTGATGCTTTAAGAAAGTTACGTTACACATAGTTTGCTTTTATATGATCAACTATTTACTTACATCCAAGATGATTCTATATTGTTGAGCATGAATTTTTAAATTCCATTATCTGAGGAAAACAATATGTTCTATGTGCCATGTAAGTCATTCATAGTAGGTACTAAGTGATCATAAAATACAATTTCTGTAAAAATTGAAAAACAGAGAGTCATATTGTCAAAGTCAGTGAGGGATGCTAACAGTTTAATGGTCACAATGCCAATTATTTCTTTCCAAAAATCAACAACGCATTAAGACTACAAGGAACAGTAAACCATCTCTGCATGAGTTAAGGAGAATCTTGCTATTAATCATATGGGAAGAGCCCTTCTTAAGTCATATGTGAATACTCTAAACAGCCATGATTTCAGATATATAGCACCATGTACTATTCCAGCTCCTGAAAATAATCCCAAGCACTATAGGACTAGATTTCTTAATCCCATTTACTGAATCTCTAATTGGATTCTTAATTTATTTCATCTACCTACATTCATGGTTTTGAAAGTTTACTGGGATAATGTATAAGAAATTAAAGAAAAAATAGATCAGCATTTCTTGTCTGGGAGGTAGAAATGAAGCAGCTGGAGAATGGAAACTTGTATTGTAGGCCTGTTGATCCATGTAACAAATACAAAGTTTCATAAGTATACAGAAGGAAAATTAATAATATTATCTTTGTTGGTGAGACAATACATAAGTTGGAGTGAGAAAGCACTAATATGCCTCGCATTGTGAAAAGAAGGAATGAGAAACAAGATTTTATCTGGGTATATTAATTTAGAGAAAATGCAAGTGAAATGGCTTTGACTCTGACTGACAATTAGAGAATAAAACAATTCCTGCCAAGTTTATTGCTCTGCATGTATCCAGTATTTATAAAACATTTGTGCTTCCATCTGCTTCTGTTTGAGATTAGTGGAACACCTGTTATTGTTAGCTAGAGTTCATTATTAATTATTGGTAATGAGTTTTTAAGACTATGATTTGATCTTTACCTCTGGGATAAAGTATTTCCTTCATATAATATTGTCACATCCTAAAAAGTAGCTCAAATTACAGTTCGAATTTGAAAAACCTTGTTAATGAAGTGTGTTGACACAATAAGTCCCAAGTTTTTGCCTTTTTATCCCATTAAAGAAAATACTTCTAAGACAGCCTTGGCATTTTCTAGCTTAGATTTCGTCTATATACTGGAAAATGAATTGATTTTCTCTCTCTGATTCTCTATAGTGAATACTCACAATCCCGACCTCAATTACAGAAACCATCTTAATAAGCCACCTTAAAATGTACCAAGCAGATGATTTTGTCACACCTTTAAAATTCTCTTGTACTGATTGCTCTATATTCAGTTGAAAAATTAAGAAAATTCTGTTTAAACCTAGAAAGTGAGTGTGTTATACTTAGGTTGACCCTATGGGAAATTGGAGTATATATGTATGTAATGTATTATTTTGTGGGTATTATGGACACTGAAGAGCTCCCCTCTCCAGAAATACTTTCTCTGTTAGCCTTTAATGATCTTATAATCCCCAACATTAGATGTCTTCATTGTGTAGATAGTCAATGTTATAGGACATATTTTAACCTCTCACCTGTGTTAGGCTGAGCACAAAGGGAGAGAGAGAGAGAGAAAAAGAGAGATCCTGTTCCCCTTTGGTGACTGTCTTGAAGATGATGACTCCCATTCTTTTAGGGCCAAAGGAAAGACTCTTTTTCTTTTTAAAACTGGTCAAGGCAGACATTAGTTGTAATACTGAGACTCGTTTTACAGCGTTTGTGATTTTTTGTTTTTGTTTTTAGAAATTGATAGTACAGATGGTCAAGTTCTTTTAGATTTATTTATCTTTTCAACTTTCCAGCAACTCCAATTTCCTTCTCAATACTTTGTGAATAAGCACATTTTTCTTCAGTGACAGCCATGCTGATAGTTTCATTCATTTAGGTAGACTCTAAAAGAAACACCATTATCTTGCTGGGCATTTTCATATTCTCTCTTCAATTTCTACCTGGGCCAAATAAATGGCATGCATTGGTGAGCAGTCTACCAAGGTAACCAAGAGACAAATTTATATAAGAAATCATATGGCTCAACAGACCTTTTTATATTCATTATAGATAAAGAAATCAATTTAAATGTCTAGTACAAGGATCAGGGCTAGTGTTCTTTTGCTTAGTAATTGTAACATTTTTTTCCCTCCAGTTTTTCATCTCTGTAACCTTTATGATTAAATTTCAATGCAAATTAAAGTTTATTTGTTAGAAATTGTCCCACCATTGAAATTCCAGCTATTTTCTTGAACCAAGAATTTATGTCAAGAAAATGTATTTCACTTTCTGTGTCATTTATTCTTATAAAATTGAAGGTATTCACCTACCAAAATCTTTTCTGACTCTAATAAGACATTCTTTGGGAGTCTGTATTCCAATTCTTTGGGTTTTAAGTCCACAGCTCGAAAGAACCTTGACAAATAAGTTAGTACTCTCATTTTATTAAGATATTTTTCTTGAACTTCAGTGGTGCTTAACTGTATTTTTGGTTTGATCCTGCTCAGAAGAGGTCAAATGTAATTGTATTATAGTCACTATTATTTAATGGTTTAATCTAATGTATTTCAGAGCTCAATTGGCTATAATGGAGAAGACTAGGTAAGATTCAGCCTTGCTTTACTTTTATCCAAAAAAACTGCTCCATAAAAGTGTATTCACTTTGGCTCTAAAAATCAAATTACTTTCACAAAACAAAAGCTTTGGAAATTTTAATTTTTACTCAGTATGTTGAATCCCTTCAGCAAGATGGTAGTTCAGAAAGGAGATAAGACATTGCATAAATAACTTTATAACTAAGGTTAACTTGTTAAGTATGCAACAGAGGCTTAGAAAATGTACATGCTAATCTCAGGAAACTAGGAATAAATAGTTATCTCTACTTACCATCCAAATCTCTTAATGTTTTTTCTTTTTTGTATTTTAAATCACTTGAATGTTGTTTGCAGAAACAAGAATAAAGAGATAGTAAAAATTATAAGAACTTAAATACAGCAAAGCTAAATGTTTATTTCATCAATTCCTTAGTTTTGAAGGCATATATACTCCAAATTGGACACATCATCTTCAGAAAGGAACTAGCTGTTCATCAACTATAATACATAACATAGCAATGTATCCAGATTGTAGATACCAATTACAGATTTCAAACACATCTTTAATAGATTCTGGCATATTATTATTTCTGGTTCTCTTAGAACTTACATCATCAAAATACAACAGTTGAATTTTTGAAATCTTTGATGGCTCATAATTTTGTTAAACAAACAATGTACTCTCTTACCATAATTGCAAAACATCTTTATTTTTAGATCTATAGACATTACTTAGAATGATAAGTCCAATGATTTTTTTCATTTATGCATTATCAGCTTCCTTCTGACACCTGCCTTCACTTTTCTTCAGCATTTGCACAGTTAGAAATCATAAGTTTTTGCACAGTTAGAAATCATAAGTTTTTATAAAAGAAGTAAGAGTAATTTAATGTACTCTTTTAAAACTTGAGATGGTTCAACTTCTTGCCACAAAATATTGCATGATAAAGTTCTTTTATTTGAAGGACTAACTGGATGAGACCACCATATTTCCTTTTTGTCCTCTGCAATGTATTGTTCATTTATTAATTCTTGAATTTGAGGAAATTCATTGTCGTCTGAAGAGTCAGAGTCTGACATTTCAATTGAACAATCAATTTTAATTTCACCCTAATCATCAAAGTATAGTGTACTGCTATCTATCTTTTTGAATTTGTCTTCTGATTCATCTAATAACTGAAATATCTTCCTCTATCAATTTTCTTTTCTTTACAGTTATGGATGGAAAATAAAAATTCTAAATTCTAAATTGTGTTCAATGAAATTAAAAGTAGACCACAGAATTGTCTCCAGGCTTCTTTTATACCTTCTTGAATGATGTAATATTTTAGTCGGCACAATAAGACAACTGAATGATGATAGGATGATGATTTATTTCACAATTGCAGCATCCTTCTAGGCTATTCCATCATTATTCTATTTTCTTAGGGCTATAGTCTTTTTTAGTATTATTGGAAATACTTGATGAGTAATAACAAAATAATTCCTAAGTTGATGAAATAGAAAATGTACAAGATATAGAAAAATTGAGATCATAGATATTCCATAATGTGCACTGGATTTTTTAATTGTCCAAAGGTGCCAGCTACATGGTAATTACAAGATGCTGAATTTTTTTATTCTTAAAAATAAGTAAACTCTTCCTTTGTTCCTTGGAAGACCTATAAGAAAAAATACGACAACATATCAGTCTCTACAAATAGTTACAATTGCTTAAAAAGAAAAAAACTAAGATTAGCTTCAAAGGACCCTGATAGTACACCGAGACCCAATGGAGACAATGAAAATGTGGAGGGGGCCGCACAAACCAGGATTTAAATACTTCGCATGTGTTTTGAATTGGTTTTGAGTCTCAGGTTCTTTATAAACTTCATTCCTTCAGGTTGTTAACATGATTAAATAAAATAATATAGGTTTGTGTACTCCCCCCACACCTTTTTGCTTTCTCTTTTACTGTGGAAGTTTACTGCAAAAAGATAGTGCTTCTAGTATGAAAGTTCAGAGATGAGCTTCTGAAAGAAGAAAATACTGAAATGGGTCTTGAAACACTGATAGGATATGCTTATATGAAATTAAGGATAAAAACATAAAAGGCTGAAGTGGTAATAATTAAGACACAGAATCACAATATCTTGAAATGTTCTTTGTGACTGTGGTTATTGAGTATTTACTCTCTCTTGTGCCCTTAAAGTAATTCTATTTAATGCTTATTAAACCCTGGGAGTAGTGCATTATCATCCCTGTTGTACAGAAGAGAGAACTAAAGTACAGAGAGTTTAAGTGTTTTGTCCTGATCCAACACAGTGCTGACAGGGGATCCAAATGCAGGCCTGCCTAATTATAAAGCCTTCAGGATTAAGACCAAATTTCCCTACTTCCCAGTCATAGGTGGGGAACTACCAGTGGTTCACTCTGGTTGGCACTCAGGGAATAGAAAGAAAAACAAAATTAGAAATAGTGTGCAAGATGGTTTGGAGAGCCCAGTTAGGATTACAGTCTAGGAGAAAAAGTAAAGTTTAACTTTGGGAGATGGGATGGAGAGAATGAAGATGAATTTAGACTTAACAGAGAGGTAAATCATAGGATTTCTTATTGTAGATACCAAAGGATTAGAAAGTAAAAGATTATTAGAGATGGTTAGGAAAGGTTGCCTGTAATACCAAAAGGATGCCTGAATTAGGGAGTAAAGGAAGAGAGTGGGTCAGAACCCCTGGAGTGGGCAGAGATGGGGTAGTAAGAGACTGTGAACTCATTACCCACTCTAAAATCCACAGATGGCATTTGGTTGCAAAAGGGGCATATGTGAAGATTCCCAGCCAGACATCTTTGCTTAAGCACCTGCTAGATACCCAGGTTCATATCAGTACTTTCACACTTTACTTATTTAATTCTCATGTCAACTCTAAAGTAGGCAGTTAGATAATCAACTGCAGACTTTTGGGGAAAAGCCAGCAGTGGAGATGGGGTTGCCAGGACAGTGAGTGAAATAAGTCTGCATACAAGTACTGAATATCTTCTGTGTGCTTGGCATCCCAGGATGAGCAGAGTACAGGATATCAGAATACTGGAAGATGATCCCTAATAAGTGGAGGGGATGATTCTTTGAAAGATGAAAAGAAACTAATAAATAATAGAAAAAATTTAAACTTGAGAATTAGATTACTTAATACAGACATTAAGTGTTACAAGTTTCAGAGGAGAGAAATTTGTGAGTCCTGACATCAGGGAAGGTAACATGAATCTAGAACTTGAAAGATGGATATTTGTCTAGCTTCCAAGGAGTACATAGAGCTTGCTTTGTATATGAATGAAATAGAAAATGAACAAGGACATGACATGGCAGTGCATGTGAAATTGATGTGTTTATATGACAATGAGGATACCAGATTGATTAGAGGATAAATTAAGATTAGAAAACATTGGGAATAAGAAATGATAAATTTGTAATGACAGATTGCAAACATGTGGGTAAATAGGCAAAACTGATACTTGGCACGAAAGAGAGTCTTTGAAGGATTTTATGTAGAACAATGAGTGAAACCAGCATTTCAGACAACATGATTGGGCAGCAGTCTGCTTAAGGCACTGGAAATGAGATAAAGTTTGTGAAATATTGCTAAAGCTGGTGAGGCTATAACATGGTTTGAGGGAAGAAAGGACAAATTTTACTAAGCCATTGTTCATGTAGGTGGTGAAGGGAATTATGTATAAGTGACTTGAGAAATTGTTACAATTCAAAATGTTATAAACTGGTTTTGACAATTTCAGTTCATACTTGTGGTAGAAACTTAACTGAGGTCTAGATGTAAATGAGAACAGTGAAATGTGTGGGACTATTTACTAAAAACATAGTCTGGTAAGGAAAAGTGCTGCAATCTGACCTGTTCTTAACCTAAAGTGGAGCAATACCTTTCTTTCCTTCTTTGGCTGGTTTCTGTTGTTGTTTTGCATTGTTCTATTTTAATCTTCAGAGTTAGCTCTCCAATGCCAGGACTTTTGAGGCAGTGAGAGCAGATGATTAGGCATGTAGACTCCAAGGCCAGACAGCATGGCTTTCAATCATGGCCCTGTCACTTGATTGAAACATGACTTAGGTTAATTAGTCTCTTTAGGCTTCCATTTCCTCTTCTGTCAAATGAGGCTAATGATAAGATTTTTGTAGAATACATAAGCAGATGGTCAAAGTGCACTTAAGAAAGTTCATGACTCAGTGTTGGCTCTTCTTTATTAACTGAACACATATCTAAGAGTTGTTACAAGCAGAATTTTTTCAAAACTGCAGCAACAAATAACATAGGAGACCAGTTTTGCACACTCTAGCCATCTGATGTCATCTAGCCTTGGTTCCACTATCTATATAATGTGGGTAATAATACATAATTTATAGTGTCATATGGAGGATAATGTGAAAAAATCTTGCATTACCTTCATCCAACAAGTTTGGTTTAAGTCTCTTCTAGATGAGTTCCAGGAACTGTGCTAGGCTGTGCAGATTCAGAGTGAGCACATATGTGTGGTACCTACTTCTTCAAAATGTGATAAGAGACACTGTCTTATAGGGTTGATGTATGGATTAATTCATGCAAACACATGCACTTAAAACACCACCTGACTCTGATAAGCATAATAAGCACTATTTAAGTATATAGTGGCGGTGGTGGTGGTCATGCCCAAATATAACAAACTTGTGGTCTTACTCTTAATGTTTTTTCTTTTTTGTATTTTAAATCACTTGAATGTTGTTTGCAGAAACAAGAATAAAGAGATAGTAAAAATTATAAGAACTTAAATACAGCAAAGCTAAATGTTTATTTCATCAATTCCTTAGTTTTGAAGGCATATATACTCCAAATTGGACACATCATCTTCAGAAAGGAACTAGCTGTTCATCAACTATAATACATAACATAGCAATGTATCCAGATTGTAGATACCAATTACAGATTTCAAACACATCTTTAATAGATTCTGGCATATTATTATTTCTGGTTCTCTTAGAACTTACATCATCAAAATACAACAGTTGAATTTTTGAAATCTTTGATGGCTCATAATTTTGTTAAACAAACAATGTACTCTCTTACCATAATTGCAAAACATCTTTATTTTTAGATCTATAGACATTACTTAGAATGATAAGTCCAATGATTTTTTTCATTTATGCATTATCAGCTTCCTTCTGACACCTGCCTTCACTTTTCTTCAGCATTTGCACAGTTAGAAATCATAAGTTTTTGCACAGTTAGAAATCATAAGTTTTTATAAAAGAAGTAAGAGTAATTTAATGTACTCTTTTAAAACTTGAGATGGTTCAACTTCTTGCCACAAAATATTGCATGATAAAGTTCTTTTATTTGAAGGACTAACTGGATGAGACCACCATATTTCCTTTTTGTCCTCTGCAATGTATTGTTCATTTATTAATTCTTGAATTTGAGGAAATTCATTGTCGTCTGAAGAGTCAGAGTCTGACATTTCAATTGAACAATCAATTTTAATTTCACCCTAATCATCAAAGTATAGTGTACTGCTATCTATCTTTTTGAATTTGTCTTCTGATTCATCTAATAACTGAAATATCTTCCTCTATCAATTTTCTTTTCTTTACAGTTATGGATGGAAAATAAAAATTCTAAATTCTAAATTGTGTTCAATGAAATTAAAAGTAGACCACAGAATTGTCTCCAGGCTTCTTTTATACCTTCTTGAATGATGTAATATTTTAGTCGGCACAATAAGACAACTGAATGATGATAGGATGATGATTTATTTCACAATTGCAGCATCCTTCTAGGCTATTCCATCATTATTCTATTTTCTTAGGGCTATAGTCTTTTTTAGTATTATTGGAAATACTTGATGAGTAATAACAAAATAATTCCTAAGTTGATGAAATAGAAAATGTACAAGATATAGAAAAATTGAGATCATAGATATTCCATAATGTGCACTGGATTTTTTAATTGTCCAAAGGTGCCAGCTACATGGTAATTACAAGATGCTGAATTTTTTTATTCTTAAAAATAAGTAAACTCTTCCTTTGTTCCTTGGAAGACCTATAAGAAAAAATACGACAACATATCAGTCTCTACAAATAGTTACAATTGCTTAAAAAGAAAAAAACTAAGATTAGCTTCAAAGGACCCTGATAGTACACCGAGACCCAATGGAGACAATGAAAATGTGGAGGGGGCCGCACAAACCAGGATTTAAATACTTCGCATGTGTTTTGAATTGGTTTTGAGTCTCAGGTTCTTTATAAACTTCATTCCTTCAGGTTGTTAACATGATTAAATAAAATAATATAGGTTTGTGTACTCCCCCCACACCTTTTTGCTTTCTCTTTTACTGTGGAAGTTTACTGCAAAAAGATAGTGCTTCTAGTATGAAAGTTCAGAGATGAGCTTCTGAAAGAAGAAAATACTGAAATGGGTCTTGAAACACTGATAGGATATGCTTATATGAAATTAAGGATAAAAACATAAAAGGCTGAAGTGGTAATAATTAAGACACAGAATCACAATATCTTGAAATGTTCTTTGTGACTGTGGTTATTGAGTATTTACTCTCTCTTGTGCCCTTAAAGTAATTCTATTTAATGCTTATTAAACCCTGGGAGTAGTGCATTATCATCCCTGTTGTACAGAAGAGAGAACTAAAGTACAGAGAGTTTAAGTGTTTTGTCCTGATCCAACACAGTGCTGACAGGGGATCCAAATGCAGGCCTGCCTAATTATAAAGCCTTCAGGATTAAGACCAAATTTCCCTACTTCCCAGTCATAGGTGGGGAACTACCAGTGGTTCACTCTGGTTGGCACTCAGGGAATAGAAAGAAAAACAAAATTAGAAATAGTGTGCAAGATGGTTTGGAGAGCCCAGTTAGGATTACAGTCTAGGAGAAAAAGTAAAGTTTAACTTTGGGAGATGGGATGGAGAGAATGAAGATGAATTTAGACTTAACAGAGAGGTAAATCATAGGATTTCTTATTGTAGATACCAAAGGATTAGAAAGTAAAAGATTATTAGAGATGGTTAGGAAAGGTTGCCTGTAATACCAAAAGGATGCCTGAATTAGGGAGTAAAGGAAGAGAGTGGGTCAGAACCCCTGGAGTGGGCAGAGATGGGGTAGTAAGAGACTGTGAACTCATTACCCACTCTAAAATCCACAGATGGCATTTGGTTGCAAAAGGGGCATATGTGAAGATTCCCAGCCAGACATCTTTGCTTAAGCACCTGCTAGATACCCAGGTTCATATCAGTACTTTCACACTTTACTTATTTAATTCTCATGTCAACTCTAAAGTAGGCAGTTAGATAATCAACTGCAGACTTTTGGGGAAAAGCCAGCAGTGGAGATGGGGTTGCCAGGACAGTGAGTGAAATAAGTCTGCATACAAGTACTGAATATCTTCTGTGTGCTTGGCATCCCAGGATGAGCAGAGTACAGGATATCAGAATACTGGAAGATGATCCCTAATAAGTGGAGGGGATGATTCTTTGAAAGATGAAAAGAAACTAATAAATAATAGAAAAAATTTAAACTTGAGAATTAGATTACTTAATACAGACATTAAGTGTTACAAGTTTCAGAGGAGAGAAATTTGTGAGTCCTGACATCAGGGAAGGTAACATGAATCTAGAACTTGAAAGATGGATATTTGTCTAGCTTCCAAGGAGTACATAGAGCTTGCTTTGTATATGAATGAAATAGAAAATGAACAAGGACATGACATGGCAGTGCATGTGAAATTGATGTGTTTATATGACAATGAGGATACCAGATTGATTAGAGGATAAATTAAGATTAGAAAACATTGGGAATAAGAAATGATAAATTTGTAATGACAGATTGCAAACATGTGGGTAAATAGGCAAAACTGATACTTGGCACGAAAGAGAGTCTTTGAAGGATTTTATGTAGAACAATGAGTGAAACCAGCATTTCAGACAACATGATTGGGCAGCAGTCTGCTTAAGGCACTGGAAATGAGATAAAGTTTGTGAAATATTGCTAAAGCTGGTGAGGCTATAACATGGTTTGAGGGAAGAAAGGACAAATTTTACTAAGCCATTGTTCATGTAGGTGGTGAAGGGAATTATGTATAAGTGACTTGAGAAATTGTTACAATTCAAAATGTTATAAACTGGTTTTGACAATTTCAGTTCATACTTGTGGTAGAAACTTAACTGAGGTCTAGATGTAAATGAGAACAGTGAAATGTGTGGGACTATTTACTAAAAACATAGTCTGGTAAGGAAAAGTGCTGCAATCTGACCTGTTCTTAACCTAAAGTGGAGCAATACCTTTCTTTCCTTCTTTGGCTGGTTTCTGTTGTTGTTTTGCATTGTTCTATTTTAATCTTCAGAGTTAGCTCTCCAATGCCAGGACTTTTGAGGCAGTGAGAGCAGATGATTAGGCATGTAGACTCCAAGGCCAGACAGCATGGCTTTCAATCATGGCCCTGTCACTTGATTGAAACATGACTTAGGTTAATTAGTCTCTTTAGGCTTCCATTTCCTCTTCTGTCAAATGAGGCTAATGATAAGATTTTTGTAGAATACATAAGCAGATGGTCAAAGTGCACTTAAGAAAGTTCATGACTCAGTGTTGGCTCTTCTTTATTAACTGAACACATATCTAAGAGTTGTTACAAGCAGAATTTTTTCAAAACTGCAGCAACAAATAACATAGGAGACCAGTTTTGCACACTCTAGCCATCTGATGTCATCTAGCCTTGGTTCCACTATCTATATAATGTGGGTAATAATACATAATTTATAGTGTCATATGGAGGATAATGTGAAAAAATCTTGCATTACCTTCATCCAACAAGTTTGGTTTAAGTCTCTTCTAGATGAGTTCCAGGAACTGTGCTAGGCTGTGCAGATTCAGAGTGAGCACATATGTGTGGTACCTACTTCTTCAAAATGTGATAAGAGACACTGTCTTATAGGGTTGATGTATGGATTAATTCATGCAAACACATGCACTTAAAACACCACCTGACTCTGATAAGCATAATAAGCACTATTTAAGTATATAGTGGCGGTGGTGGTGGTCATGCCCAAATATAACAAACTTGTGGTCTTTTACCCACCATTTTCGTATCTTTCTGATGTAATCATCATGTATCATTCTCATTTGCATTCTCTCCCTAGCAAATCTTTCTTTTGTGCCTTATATAAATATGTATACTTTCAAGAAACTTTTGCCTTTAAATCCCTATTGCTTTCTACCTTGCTAGATACACTATATGTTTATTCAGTTGAATTCATGATGTATAATATTTATCTCAATGAAAAAAATTATTGATGATCATCCCAGAGCAGCCCTTTTTATTCATTCCTAGAAATAATCTTATTTAAAAAGATGACAGGTTTCTAAGCATTGCAAATAGGCCCTGTGCAAAGATTCCTGAAGAAGTTATTGGTAGTATCTTTAGAGACAGAGGCTCAGAATTAACAAAGACTGGTTTGCTGCGTGCATCAGTAAACTGCAGGCAGAATAAAGAATTAGGCAGAAATGATAGAAAAAAAGGAGAGAGAGCCTACACTTCATTACGGCGTGCAGAGTGCTGGGACTTAGCACGCCCCCTTGAGAGTTGCCTCCTGATTATTCGAAGTCTGTGGAAACTTTGAAGATAAATGTATCACATTTTCATATTTGTCTCAATCAGTCCAGGAACCATTCTAGTCACTATAAATAGCTGGAATGTACAGAGACACAGATCCAAGCATTTTTGAGTGGCTGTGATTCCTCTCATGCTGCTAGTACTCTCAGTCAGCTCATTGTGATGAAGGACTTTGGTTTGGAGAGAAGACTAGTGAATAAGAAGACTTCTTTCCTCATAATACCAAATTATATGACTTCACTTTCTCTGTGTCCATTTCAAGAGGACAAAATGAAGGCCTGATTCACTTTTCTCACGTTAGAAATTTGTCTCCTACCCTTTAGGAAGAGGTGCCGGATTTTAGAGGAATATCTTGGCTGTGAGGGACTGTTCATTAAAGTGTCATTTTGGTCTAGCCGTGCCACTAGTAATGGCATTGGCCTGCTGTCAGACAAAAATAAACCCCTACTCAGGTAACCTACTGAGACTATTCAAAGCAGTTCTAAAATAGTCTGAAAAACGAACAAATAATACTGAGTAATTTGAATTGCTGCATGAGAAACAAGGAAAATTAAGTCTTAATCAAAGAATTATCAAACTAATTAGGTGTTATTTATTAATGTGTCATGTCTTGTAATAATCTTATCTGTCAGTTTATATGCAAGAGTGCAGATTAAAAAAGCATTCTTGTAATTATGTGAATATATTCCTCCTAGTGCTCTTCTAAGGTTCATTTGGCTGGCCCAGTAGATAAAGAATAGTGCATCTACGGCTTTCTAACCATTTAAATAAATGCATAGTTCTTATCACTTTTCTTAAGCACGCCTTATTTCTAATATAGAAGTAATAAGTAGACCCATTCCTATTTTGACTTAACTAATCGTCTACCAAGTAGTTGGATATAACTATTTTCAAAGAGACGTGCTTGTTAAACAAATATTCCTCATCCATAGATTGTTTTTTCCTGTTCAGAATATTTGTGCAAAACAAAAGCAATCATGAATTTTGCAACATTAACATTAAGTTTAGAGATTGTAGACAGTTCAACAGTTGCTCAGTATTGTTTGAATGCTATTCAAGCCCAAAATATTTTACATTTTGTTTTTCTAAAATAGTCTATGGTAAGACATAATAGCACTGCTATTGCCACACAGTGGTAATAAGTATTTCACATTACAAGAGAATACATTTTGTCTATTTATATGTTCATCAAATCCAAGTTGATATGCACAGTCATTCTATTAATCAATCTCCCAGCAGTTACTGAATCCCTAGTATATGTTCTCAATACTAGTGATCATAACATGAGCTTCAAGTAGAATGAGGTTTCAATCTAATCAGAGATTATAAATAAAACAATAAACAATATAAAGCAGCTGCAGGATAAAAATGAAAGAAGTACTATGTACTATATCACATGAAACAAATTGTACTCACTAGAAATA